ATTCAAAATATTAACCGAATTAAATTTTAAATTAGGCAAAAAACTTGATTAGTTTGCCATAAATTTTGAATAACACTTTTTTAAATAACTATCGATTTCGAGGAAGGTTAGACGTAGGTACTCTTCTTAAGGAGCAAATTATTTTTGCTTCTGAAGAAGAGGAATCTGTGTCTAATTCTTGAACTTGAACTTTTCATCTGTTTAAAGAGTTTTTCCAATTATTTTTATTGCAGTATTTTAGACAGTAAGTTTTACTATCACATTTAAATTTGTAGTCTACAAGACGTAGCAAACAAATTTTTGGTTGAGTTTAATCTTTGATTTAATTACTTTGTAACGTAATAATTCTTCCGAGCAAGCTAGAGGTAACAGTTTAAAGCAACTTTAAAAAATTTAAAGCAACTTGTAAGGATTATGTTAATTTTATTAACAGTTAAATTTTAAGTTCCTTTCCTGTCAAATTCTTAACTTCAACTTATTACTTCCGGCCAGATCGTAGTTTTGGAATCATTCTGAATACTTAATGAGGAGGAGCGGTATTTAAACCGCGAAGTCTACTTGCAGAGTCAGAGAGAATCAGAGTTTCTGATTTGCGCGCGTCTGCCTTTTGGCTACTCTCTCTCTTAAAGCTGTTATTACGCTCTGCCGTACTCAGGCCCTTGATAAGCTTCGTAGTCAAATAAAGTTAAGGGGCCAACTCGTTTAGAATCTTAATAGCTTCGGCTATATTTCTTTAGTTAATATTAGTTTTAGTTTATTTCTTAGTCTCTTAAGTTCAAGCCCAAGTGTCGGCTTTTATTGTACACTCCAAGACGGAGTTTTGTTAAAATCTTATTGGAATAATAAAGGGTTAGTTACCCTTCCTTCTTGTTGTTTCTTGTTACACGAACTTAAGCGATTATTCGGTAACTAGTTCTTAAGATTCCTCACTTTCTACAGTAACTGAGAATTACACTAGTGAAAATCTTACAAACTTTTAAAATCTTTGAATAAGCCAATATTCGACTTAATTTGTTTTAGCATGGTAAGGTAAATACGGGTTTTGATTACCAGTCTTTCAATATTTACTTAAAGAAAATAAAGTATTCATAAAATTGAAACTAAACTGCACTTGAAAATAATAAATATTTGTGAAGGAAATCAAATGTTTCGTTAAATAACAATTCATCTAGGATGCAAATTTTGGTTATAAATGTTTTGTTTTGGATGCAAATACAGCACCAACTGAAATAACATGCAAATTTTCGTCTGTATATTGAGCTCTTAGGAAAGTATATTTTTCCAAAGACTTCACTTTAAATTATTTACATTTAGATTTTTTACTTAAAAGTTTTTTCTCCTTTCTGATTTGATACTCATATTCATGAAGAAAAATTAATTTCAGATTTAGAAACTATCTTACGCAAATTTAATGTGATTATTAGTACAGGTTACGCAAGATGGAAACAACAAACTCTTAGAGACAGGTGCTAAGTACCAAGGTGGGCGAAAGCCAATAGGCTAAAACGAGGCAGAGCACGTCAGCTGCGAAAGAGCGTCAAAGAAAAGCCAAAAGGCTAAAATAGGAGGGATTGCCTTTCGACTAAAAAGGGAAGAAGCAGAAGGTAAAAAAACTGGTCTAAGAAGGGCAGAGTCTTCATGGCTATAAAAAAGAAGGGGAACAGACGAAATGAAGCAAAGCCTGAGGACGAAAGGGGGCTGAGAGGGAAGGCGAAACGGCGAAAGGGAAAGAGAAAGCTTTGCAAACTTTAAAACCAAAAAGGGGGGAAGTCATGACGGCTAAAATAAGAAGTGAGGGACGGTCAGTGAGGTTACAATGCTAGGGAAATTAAAAAAAAAAAAAAAAAAGTTTTTTCTTACATAATGAACATTAATCAACCGAGTAATTAAATAATATATAAACAGATATCAACAAAAGAGTAAGTAATATCTAACAAATAATAATAAACATATAAAAAATCAAATAAACTTATAAACAGGTATACAATTGGTTATAGATATAAGTAAACACTATAGTGACTAAAGAAGTGAATATTACATTGACGTGAATGGAAAGAAAACTAACAATCAGAATGACATAAACATTGTAAGATTAACAATAAAGAATAAAGTCTGAGTCACTTACATATATAAGTTACATAATTGACGTCATGGTATTAAGAGTATAATTACATTTTGTCAGTATTCCTAGAGAAGGAAAAAGTGATGTTCTTTCTTTTACTATTATTGGACAAGACGTGATGTAATGGAGAGCTACTGCAAGCTCTCCACTTGCCCCCCAGCCACATCTTGTGTTATTTATATCCAATCTTTAAATATTGCGGAAATTTACCATTATTTGTCAAGATTTGATTTAAAATGGGATCTGATTGTATACGAGCGAGAGAAACTTGTGGAAAAAAAACGTAAGTTGAGCGTCCTGTAGAGTCCTCATCCCATCTTTGCTGCCATGTTTTAAGAGTTCTTGCAGGACTTGATGTTTGGCCGAAATCTCTGAAAATGGCACTTCAACACCTATCTGATCTTGTTGTGTTGCTTTCTTTGCTTCGGAATCTGCTCTTCGTTCCCTGCGATTCCCCTGGTTCCCTGCGGTTCCCTGAGCTTAAATCTAATTAAGCTCTTGGGAATGGGAATCTAAAAATGTTTTTATGATTTCTTTTAGGCTAAGAATGTTTCCTTTCGTAATTTTATCACTATTTAAACTTTTAAGGAACTGCGGTTATCTGTAAAAATATGAATAGGAATGTTGTCAGTTGTTGTGGAACCTATCCAGATGAGTTCTTTTATTTAAGCAAGAATCTCTGCTTGGAACACGGAAGCCATATCATTTAAAGTGTAAATTTCTGAATGAACTTCGTGCCCATTGTTGTACATAACGAAAGCCGCACCTACATTTTCACCAGGTCTTGATAACCAGGGTGTGTGTGGAAGTGCGGCACTGTTTCTTTCTGTAAGGTATTGTACCATATAACAACTAGTTCCAAGTTTTCCTTGTAATGAATTAGTCTAAATTTTCTTTCTATCTCAGCTTTTATATCTGAGGGCATAAGGCCCAAGAGAATTTGCAGGTGCGAGATGATGAATAACACTTGGTAATACATAAAAGAACTGTCCTTTGTATTTGTGACGCATGATGGAAAGAGAGACTAGAAGCAAATTACTATATAGTTACATTACTGTGATTTAAATGTATTGGAAATAATTAATTTAAAATATACTCGGGCAACAAATTCCTTTAAAACTATCTCCAGAAGCTTTTTGAAATCCTTAAATTTGTTAATCAAAAATTCGTTACAATTTTACAAAATAGGAAATCGATAATAAAACAAATTTGAAATTTCAAATTTGGGCTCCCACAGACGCCCATATTCGCAGTAGGATTACTTAATTCAAAATTTGATGGCTCTAGGTACCGTTGTTTTATCGCAATGCAAGAAACATACGTACATTTATGCAAATTCTTCATTATTTAATTTCTTCAAATATAATACAGGGCGATATTATTTGGTGGCAACAGTTTGAAAAGTGAAACGGACATTCAGAATGATTCGACCCAAAATCGCAAAACGAAAACAATAGCCCCTCAGGGACAAAGCCCCTTTGGGCTAAAAAATCTGAAAGAGTTCAGATTTTAACGATCGCCTACAAGGATTTGTTAAGATTTTCTACTCGCTCGCTGAGCTCGTAGTCTATCAGTCTGCAGTTGACCTCACTCCAGCTAGCTTTATTACTAGCCATATGTTTTTGCTCTTACGCCATATACGCTTCAACAGCAAAATTACAAAAGTTTTAAAAGCAGCCTAACAGTATATGTTTAGAATTCCCGATACAGTTTCTGGACCTGGCATACGTTCTTCTGTTTTTTTTTTTTTTCCAGTCTTTTCTCAGTTTATTATGTCAATGTTCAGTTTTCTTAGTACGATAGCTTACAAAACAGTTTGTGTCTTTTTATTATTAAAATTTTGTGTGTCATCTTTGTTTACTAGATATCACGTTCTTTGCACTTACGTGACCTAAACTTTAATTCAACAGCAAAATCGCAAAATATTTTAAAACAACATATCTTTAGAATTTCCGCCAAACAATCTAGCACGCTGGAAGTAAAAATATTTTATTCCGTACAGTGTTGCCACTGCTCGCTTTCAGATAATTGAGTTTGGTAATCAAAAATTCATTCAGTTTTTATAAAGTATGAAATATAAAATTGGAAATTCAAAATTTGGGCTTCCAGGTGCACGTATGTTCGGGTGAAGGACAACGTTATTCAAAATTTAGTTGTTCTAGGTACCATCATTTTTTGACAATGCCAGGCACATACATACATACAAAATCTTCATTATTTAATTAAGATAATACAGGAAGATTATATATGGTGGCAACAATTTGAAAAGTGATTTGCCGTTTATGATGGACGACGCAAAATCCTGTTTCAAGACTAACAGCGTCCGAGTAACACTAAATAGCAAATATACCTGACAAGAGGACATGCTTTGAATTTTGTTTTCGCGATGAAATTTATGTTCAGAAACATTTTGGCTGTTGCAAAAGGCTCTGAAACTCTGTTTTCAAAAAATATTTTAAAAGCTATTTCTTTATCAGATATTTTCGAATATTCTAATTCTAGTACCTGAAACTTCCTTAGCCAATGTAATATTAAGTTTTTTATCATAGTTCAGGCTTTCATTCGCAGTACTTTCTATTTCCTAGTCATCAATGCGAGCCAGTTTTATAATACTATGTATTATTCGAATCTGGTACATTAAAGAAAGGTTTACTTAATTATTTAATATGGAGAATAAGCAGATTTTATAGAGACAGGTTGTACAAAATTTGAATTTAACCTAGTATTAGTTTTTAAATAGAAAATCATTTTTTAAGTTTTGATGGAAGAATTTCGCCAGGAATTTAACTACAGCAGCAACAGAAAGCATTCTTGTAACAAGCGCGCAAATAATACCTGAATAATTTAAATTAAAGTATAAACACAATGCCATTCTTACACTAAATTCTCGGAGAGAATCTGCCAGTTTCTCCCTTACTTCTCGATCCCTTTTCAAGTTGTTGAGTTTCTCTATCAGCAGGGAAATAAAAGGATCCCTTCTCATGCTTTTCCTAGTAAGAAGAAAACAAAATGTAATAGTTTTCTATTAAAATATGATACAGAGTTATAAATTTTCCTTTATTGAATGATATTGTGACTAAGTATTATTAAATTATTAAATAAAATTATTATTATATTAAATAAAATTACGGACAAATTTAACGTGAAAATGGATTTTCCAATTTTATTACGAAAGGAAAATGTTTTATAAATTACTTTATTGTGATCTTCATGGGAAGAAGTATTACCCTCCTCCTCATTATTATTATTGTTATCATGCTATATTGTTTCGTGTAATATTATTGTTGTAATGTTACACTGTTTCATGTCATCATCATATATTATTTCATGTAATAAATAGCTTAGAGAAGACATGATAAAGTGAAAACCGGGGCAATAAAGACTCAGGTCAGCCATCTGCCAAAACTTTCTCTATTTTCATTTGCTTCATAATGAAAATAAAACAACAGACAGATCAAGAAATCTTTAAAAATATCTTTTTGTTATATGAATATAAATGTACACTTGAGGCAACTAATTAATAAATTCGACGCTCTTTCTTCAGCCAAGCATTGTCAGCGTATAAAACTTCATTTAGAGATTTTATAATGATGGAAATAAAATTTAAAAATGTAGACGTTCAGTGTTTACATACATATTTTACCAGTTAAGACAGGTAAAAAAAATTAATGCCAGCTTAATTTTTATGCTGAAAAATGCTAACCTAAATACAGAAAAATGTACATTATTTTCTAAAACATCTTGTACAATTGTCATATATTTATCAAAGTCAGAAAGATTTTTTAGACGAGAAAGATTAGCATTTTAAAGCATTAGAAAGCATTTTAAAAGCGTTTCATATGCCAATATTCAGTATAACATCGTTTGTAGAAAATGGAAGATACTATAGTATTTATAAACTTACCTGCCATAATTCTTAAACTTTCAGAGGATAATAGTGCGTCCTGAAGTAATCAGAATCGCAGAAAGCACTGTGGAGCTAAGGGCGCAGTCGCCATTTTTGATGTTCCCGAGCTGTCGGCGGATCAGAGAGCTCTTGCTCGAAAATCGATATTCCTGCGACAGAACTATTGGGCAACGTAATGCTCTTCAGATACCCCTATCCTTTTATGGGGGGATTAAAAATTAAAATTCAGCAGACTGGAGTCCCTATTGTATAAAACAAAGCAGATTTTCTTTTGTAATACACCGCCAAATTTTGAACTACTGCGAGTTTTCAGCATGGGATTTCATAGATTAAATTTTTCTTAAGTTACCATGAAAGCGTGTTGGAAGCATTTTGCTTGTTAAATTTTCGTTCTAATTATTGCATACTAAGACAGGATGGTTTTAAGCAGAGCTGTGATGATAGATTTTAACACCTAAAGCAAATCTAAAAATTATATTTCTAAATAATTTT